AGGAGGAGGAGGAGGAGGAGGAGGAGGAGGAGGAGGAGATTGGATTTATACCCCACCCTTCACTCAGAATCTCAGAGCGGCCGACCATCTCACTTCCTTGTGAGGTAGGTGGGGCCGAGAGAGCGCCTTTGAGAACGACTCTTGAGACAACAGCGCTGAAAGAACTTGTGACTGACCCAAGGTCACACCAGCAGCCGCATGTGGAGGAGTGGGGAATCAAACCCGGTTCTCCCAGATTAGAGTCGGTGCTCTTAACCACTACACAAAACTGGCTCTCTCTTAATGCAAGAGGCCTCAGCTACGACCCCAATGGGCACACATCTGCCAGTAGGAAGACACAAACTCCAAGGTCTTATGAATCAAAGCAGTTTATTGGAAGGCACTCTAGTACAGTACACTACAAAAGCAATCTCATGATACATGAGTAAATGGTAAGAGGGATGGATAGAGAAAGCCCAGAAAGATGTGTATATGAGGCACACAAGCAGTGAACAGGCATAAGCAAATATGAACGTACAGTGCAGTTCTAAACCAGTCCCCAATAGAGGACACACAATGGATAGTAGAAAACCATAAAATATCCTGCACTGTAAATACTCTTGCAATGAAAGGTTACAAAGAGGTGAGCAAGCTTAATGCCCATTAGCCACTCTAAATACTAGTTGCCACCCTACCACCCTCCTGCCCTTCTAGTTAAAGCTCGGTTCCCTAGCAAAACAAAGCAGTCTCAAAGCGACCTATCCAAGGATCCAGAAAGCTTCATAGGACAGGATCTTCCATCAGGATTGTGAGCTTCTCAACTGTCAGACTCCTGAGGATGGGAGGACAGGGTGGGGGGAAGGCTATTGGAGGCCTCAAGATGCAGCAAAGCCTCCTCAAGGCAGGGGAACTCTACAAAGTAAAGGCTGCACCCACCTGCCTTCCTCCTGGACTTCTACATTTCCATAGGTTAGGGGTGCTCTCATGGAGGCACGAAGAGAAGCATGGACTTAATTCTTCATTTGTGGCTTACTTGGGCACCCAGAGGACTGGAGCCCCCAATTCTGTGTCGTGCCTTCCAGCCGCCCAGAACCATATGCCAGTTGGAGCTCTTCTTGTCGTTGAAGGCACTGGTCATCTCACTGGAGAGAGATGCAGGAGCTAACCCTCCGCCCAGCGGACCTCTGGCTGTCTCAGCAGCCAGCAGTGCCTTGCGGAGATTTCAAAGAAGTCATTTCAGTCTGGGGGTCTTTGGTAGGGCACTCCCATAAAGCATGATTCTACAAGCAAACCATTTGAGAGTCTTCCTTATATTTGGGATGACATCCTCCACAATCGGGCTGCCTGGAATTGTCATTTCTGATGCAACAGGAACCTGCAGACGTCTCTTGGCATTGCAGTCACTGTTTAACAACACAGGGGGAAAAATTCAAAAACAAGCAAGAAACTCCAGCAACTGATTAAAACCTCTGCAGATTGTAATATTGTTAATGAGCTTCAAAAAGAATAGCCTAAAAACAACAGCAAATTCATGAAGCTTAAACTCCTGTGTTCCTCCCCCAGAACTAAGACTGATTTCCCACATGCCACTGTGCCGCCCTCGCTCTTCCCTTCCCCCCCAGTGTATGCATCAATTTCCCACTACTTGCTGTGCATCCGCATTTTGAACTGAAGCTTTGCACGATTTCCCCCCCAGTGTATGCATCAATTTCCCACTACTTGCTGTGCATCCGCATTTTGAACTGAAGCTTTGCACGATTTCCCCCCCAGTGTATGCATCAATTTCCCACTACTTGCTGTGCATCCGCATTTTGAACTGAAGCTTTGCACGATTTCCCCCCCAGTGTATGCATCAATTTCCCACTACTTGCTGTGCATCCGCATTTTGAACTGAAGCTTTGCACGATTTCCCCCCCAGTGTATGCATCATACCCATGTGACAGCCAACCAGACTTTACCACAGTCTTTCCCAGAATTTCACAGCAAAGCAGTTCTGAGAAAGAATGGAGAAAAGTTAGGGAAACCCTAAGAGGTACATAAACGTATCACAATGCTGGGGCAATGCAGCGGCTTGTGAAGAATCGGTCTAAACCTGCATTGTCATTTTTGTCACTCGTTTGTCCCTATTGCTTCAGGGTTCCCCCCCCCCATGTGGTTTTCGTTTTCTTGTTGACACCACAAAGGACAAACACATGTGGAATGGGGGGGGGGACCCAGAACAATAGGGACAAATGAGTGACAAAAATTACAGTGCCGAAGATGAGAAAACTCTGCTACCTTTAAGGGCTGCATATCAACAAAAACTGCTGTAGTGGAGATGAAGAAACTAATGAAAATGTACTTTCTTTAAAGGCACAAAAGTACTTTCTGGCTCAGGTCAGATCTGGCAGACCTGCTAAAGAGTTTAATGAGGCCGGGTAGGACTTAAGGAGAGGGGGATGAAGCATATTATTTGCTGTTTAAAAACTGATATCTTCTTTGCAACCCTCATGGGGATGAAGATTGGCAGGATCTTTACTCAGCAGCTTTTGCCAGAACACTCTCGGCGTCTGCCATGGCATCTTCTAAGAAGCTCTTCAGCACGTAACGTGTGGTGGCAAAAGAAGTAACTCCACCAACTAGAGAGCCTAAAACTGGGATCAAGCGTGCAAGCTCTTCCACCGCCATTGCGGAGCCGACTGTCAGGAACTTGGTAAAGAGAGACAGCACAAATTTCGAATCAATCTGGCTAGCCATCGGAGTCTTCTGGACCGCAGATTTCAGCACGTCCACTGGTTTGCGAATCCGTTCTGCGAGATTACAGAGGGAACCTTTATCCAGGCCAAAAGCTCTGCAGATCTCTTTCATGGATGATATTAAGAGGTAAACATCATAAGCAACAGAGAGACCAGGCACAAAGATCGCCCCAACACCGCAAGACTTCAGGGCTTTTTTCCAGATGAGCTTTTCCATCGCAGCCTTTTTCTCTTGCAGGTGTTCTCTTGAGAAAGCCGGCATCGCCATGATGAGAAGAGGTCTCTTGAGATCATTCAGGTCCTCTGCTAGGGTCTTGTGGAGCTTAGGGAAATCGTACTTATTCAAATGCCATCTGGATATGAGAAAAACCTTTGGATCGTCAATTCCTTCTTTCCACAAATTGGAGAGGCAGTCATTTCTTATCTGTTCCAAGGTTTGTGTCTCACTGAAGTTTGGCTTCATTCCCTCATTATGCATATCCTGATCCACTTTGGTGCGAACAAAGTAAAACCGCTTATTCATCTTTTTAATTTCTAAGGCCAGCATTGTGTCATTGACGGTGAAGCGTCCTGCAGAGACGATGATGAAGAAATCGTACCTGCTAAAATTTACGATCTTTAGGTATTCATTTGGTTTAAATTCACGTGTCCCAATCCCTGGTAGATCCCATAACGTTATTTCTGGGAATATATCATTTGGATATTTCTGTGGCTCCATAGTTGTCTGTTTCACATCGGTTTCAGCTGAACTTTCTTTATAATCTGAGATGTTTCGAAAGGCATTCACAAAGGATGATTTACCAGCTCCTGTATTCCCTGTGACAGCAATGTGAAGTGTTGTGTTCTTTAATAGTTTTAATTCTTGATCAGTGTCAGCTAAAACATTTGGGAGACTTTCTTGTTCCAAACGGGACTTCAGCTCAGCGAGATCATTTTCTATTAATTCTTTTGAATTGGCAGCCATAGCTGGACTTCTGGACAGGTCAGTTGATCTGAATAAAACCAGAAAGTACAAGGATTGTTACTTCATGCTACAGGGTGTACAAACAACATTTGTTTTTGACATTTCATGGCCCCGGTCACACGAGCAGGAAACTGTGTGGGGGAGCGTGGCTGTTTGCCCTGGGGCAAACTACCGTGCGGTTACGCGATCAGACCTCCCGTGGAGGTCCTGTGGAGGTACCGTGGAGGTTCCGTGGAAAGGGAGATGTTAGATCGCGCTAACAAAGACCCGTAGAGTGATTTCAGCTAGTGATTCAGCTTTATTCGAACAAGCACATAAACGCATTCAGGAATCAGAACAACTTAACATTGGAGCTGGGCTCCTTTTAAACATACCGGGCTAATATAGCCACGCCTACTATTTACATAACAACCAATCAGATTGCATAGATAAAGGCGAATCAGTGTCCTTCCCGCTCAGGGAACAGCTCCTCTGTGATTGGTCGCTGTTTTGAAGCGACCAATAGATTGTTCGTACTGTCGGAGCCTTGGCCGGCTCGAAGCTTAACATGGGAAGTGTATTGAGCGATTCATGTTATGTTGTCAGTACATAACAATTCCTCCCCCCTAAGTTAAGACACGCATTTACAGTCATATTTACATTCAAACATATATCCGATGCCGGTCAGGCAGACTCAAACAGATTGCTGCACTCATAGTCAGCCAAATATGCAGGAGGTCTGTGTGTACGCTGTGACCTTCTAAGTACAATAGGTTCAGTTGGCGGGGCTTCCAACTGTGGCTCCACAGACCCTGAATCAGGCGCTTGTACGGCCGGGTCTGTTGTTTCAGACTCAGGGAATTGCCCCGAAACACCTGCCAACTCTTCGTTGCCCTCCATTGCGGGAGGTTGAATAACTAATTCTGAGGACCCAGCCGGAGAGTCAGCGCTGTCCTTGGCCCAACGCTTTCTTAATTGGTCCACGTGGCGCCGCCACCTTCTGCCATCATTCAACAGCACTGTATACATCCTAGAGCCTATACAACCACAAATTTTCCCGGGGACCCATAAGTGTCCGCTGGCGTAATTACGGGCAAAAACCTTGTCCCCTTCCCTAAACATGCGCACATTCGTTTGAGGAGATGTACGCCCCTCTTGCTGTTCATTTAAATCTGGGTGAAGGCGGTTTAAGCGGGTGGTTAGCCGCCTGCCCATCAGTAGCTCGGCCGGGCTACGACCTGTTGTGCTACATGGGGTGGTGTGCTGGCGCAATAGGAACGCCCCCAGCCTCACACTCCAATCCCCTTCTGTCAATCGTCCCAGGGCTTCTTTGGCCGTGCGGACCATCCGTTCGGCCTGACCATTCGAAGCTGGGTGGAACGGGGCTGCAGTCATTTGCCGGATACCATTGTTTGTGAGGAATTGTCTAAACTCCTCGGACACAAACTGAGGGCCATTGTCGCTGACCAGTGTGTCCGGCAACCCATGGGTTGCGAACAACCGGCGCAATGCCTGTACAACAGCGGTAGACGTGGTTGAGCGCATGTGCACCACCTCAAGCCATTTGGACCATGCATCCACAATTATAAGGAACATTTGCCCTTGTACTGGGCCAGCAAAATCTATGTGAAGCCTTGACCATGGCTTACCCGTGGATTCCCATTTCTGTGGTGGGGCTGTTGGGGGGTCTGGCCTGCTTTGCTGACACTGGTTGCAAACTTGTACCCACTCTTCAATGGCCGCGTCCATCTTAGGCCACCAGACATACCCTCTCGCCAGGGCCTTCATTTGTACTATACCAGGGTGCCCTTCGTGTAAGGATTGTAACACCTGCTGCCTGAGTGTGTCTGGAACCACCACCCTGTTTCCCCATAGTACACAGCCCTTTGATATGGACAATTCATTTTGGCGGGTTTTGTACGGTTGGAACTCGTGTTCCATGCTGCCCATTGGCCACCCCCTCCACACCCAGTTAAGTACACGGGACAGAACGGCGTCCCTAGCAGTGTGTGCGGCCACGTCCTTAGATGAGACTGGGGCTTGGGGAAGTTCGTCAATGGCCAAGACTTCACATACCGGGGCAGGGTCCGTTCCTTGGTTAGGTAAGGGACAGCGGCTGAGTGCGTCAGCATGCCCTATAGCCTTACCCGGCCGGTGTTCCAGATCAAAGTCGTAAGCCTGCAAAAACAGCGCCCACCTAAGCATCCTAGGGGACATGATGTTTGGCAACTGCTTATCGGGCGCAAAAATCCCCAGTAGCGGCTTGTGGTCTGTGACCAACACAAATTTCCTGCCAAAAACAAAATCGTGGAACTTTTTGACAGCCGCTACTAAAGCCAGACCTTCCTTGTCTATCTGGGCATAGTTCCGCTCCGCCTCAGATAGAGACCGTGAATAGAAAGCGATAGGCGCCTCGCTTCCATTTGGCATCAGATGGCTCAAAACGGCGCCTATTCCAAAAGGCGAGGCGTCAGCAGCCAAAATCAGGAGCTTTTGCTCATCATAATGAGTCAAAACGGCGTCGGATGTTAATAATGCCTTAACTCCATCAAAAGCCCTTTTTTCGGCTGGCCCCCATGTCCATTTCGCCTCTTTGTGCAAAAGTGCGTGCAAGGGTGCTGCCACTGATGCCTTGTGCGGCAAAAACGCGTGATAAAAATTTAGCAAACCAAGGAACGCTTGCAAATCTTTTTTGTTTTCAGGCTTGGGTGCATTTTTAATGGCCTCAATTTTCTCACTTGTGGGGTGAACCCCTTCCGCGTCTATGCGGAAACCCAGAAACTCCACACTTTCAACGCCCATGGTGCATTTGGAACGTTTAACCTTTAACCCAACATTTTGAAAACGTGTTAGGACCTCTGTGACTCGGTCCAGTAGCTCTTGTTCGGATTTCCCGGCTATCAAGACGTCGTCAAAATAGGGCACTGTGCCCGGAACCCCCCTAAGTAGACGTTCCATTAGACTTTGAAACAACCCAGGGGCCACGTTTACTCCGAATTGGAGTCTGTTAACTTTAAATGCCCCCCTATGAGTCACTATGGTCTGTGCCTCAGCCGCTTCCGGAGTGACAGGCAGTTGCTGATAGGCCTGGGCCAAGTCTAATTTAGCAAAAAGTTTACCACCCCCTAGAGAAGCCAAGACGTGACTGATTACTGGTACTGGATATGAATGCTGCTGAAGCGCCTTGTTAATAGTGCACTTGTAATCGGCACATATTCTAATAGACCCGTCCGGCTTCACTGGCGTCACTATGGGGGTCTCCCATCGGCTGTGCGGTACTGGCTCAAGAACCCCTTGTGCTATGAGCTTGTCCAGCTCCTTCTCTACCCGTGGCCGAATAGGTATTGGTACCTTTCTGTATTTAAGCCTTATGGGCGCCACATTTGGGTCTAGTTCAAATGAGATGGGGGGCCCGTTATACCTCCCCAACCCATCCCCAAACACTGCAGGGAACCTCTCGTAAAGCATACTCCATTTATTCTCAGACAGCTTATTTACCCCATAGATTCCGATACCCAGAGGGCTAAACCAATCCAGCCCCAGCAAGTTAACCCGGTCCCCTTCAGTAACTAAGAACGACAATTTTTTACATTTCCCCTCATACTCAACGTTCACAGTGTCTCTGCCGACCAACGGAATCCTCCTGCCCTGGAAATCAGACACTCGCATGTCCGCATGCTGCAGCCGCCGCTTGCTTCGGTCCGGAAACAGCTTCTGCCACGTCTCCGCTGAAACGATGGTAACCGATGATCCTGAGTCGATCTCGAAGGAGCAGGGGCGGCCGTCTAGGAGTACTGTGATAACGATTTTACCAGGACAGCTGGTGCGGTTGACAACTGGTGCGCTTGTCAGTGTGGCTGTCACTTGGCTGTACGCTTCGCTTGCCGGGGAACGTCGTCTCTCACTGGGTTTGGAAACTGGATTCTTCTTTGCCGCTCTGCAGACCCTTGCAATGTGCCCACGCCGTCCGCACGCTCTGCATTCAAGGTCTCACACCGTCCGCGGGCTGTGCCTCGATCAGAAGGACTTGGGCCCCCACCACGAGAGCGTCGCCGGGGAGTGGGTCTTCTGTACGCCACATTTCCCGCGCCCCACCGCGGGGCGGGGATTCGGCGCTGGGCTCTTCCCTGTTCACTCGCCGTTACTGAGGGAATCCTGGTTAGTTTCTTTTCCTCCGCTGACTAATATGCTTAAATTCAGCGGGTCGCCTCGTCTGATCTGAGGTCGCGTCGGAAGGAGACTCTGGGAGCGTGGGGCGGGGCGGGCCGGCGGGCACCGGTCCGCCCGCGCGAGGCCGCCGCCGGCCACCGCACGGAGAGGCGCCCGGAGAGGGACCCGGAGGTCCCGGGGGGCGGGGAGGACGGCCCACGCCACGGGTCGACCGGGAGAGGGGTCCGGCTCACGCGCGGGCAGCGCTGTGCGTCCACAGACAGCCGCGCGGGAACGGACCCTCCCGGCCGCCGGCCGCCTATCGCCGTGCCGCCGCGGGCCCCGCGCCGCGATTGTCCTCCCTCTCCCTGCACATGGCCTTCCATGAAGACATATGTCTCCCTCTGCAGGTCTCTCCTGTAAATACAGTGCCCTCATACTCATCTGTGATACCAGACAAGCTGGCTGTTTGTGGTAGGGAATGGACTCTTTAGATTAGGCTTCTTTTCTCTTCGACTGCAACCTGAATGTGAACTGGATCTACATGAATCAATGTAAGTTTTACCTTCTTTGCAATGCACTTCCTGGGAGATTTATTGATCGCACTCAGTACTGTGCTTCTGTGACTGGGCAAACTCTGGTAT